CTCCTGATGTGGGAAAATAGGGGACACCTTCACTGACACACTCGCTCCTGATGTGGGAAAATAGGGACACCTTCACTGACACACTCTGCTCCTGACCTCGGAAAATAGGGGACACCTTCACTGACACACTCGCGCCTGACGTGGGAAAATAGGGGACACTTTCACTGACACACTCGCTCCTGACGTGTGGAAATAGGAACCACCTTCACTGACACACTAGCTCCTGACGTGGAAAAGAGGGGACACCTTCACTGACACACTCGCTCCTGATGTGGAAAATAGGGGACACCTTCACTGACACACTCGCTCCTGATCTGGAAAATAGGGGACACCTTCACTGACACACTCGCTCCTGACCTGGAAAATAGGGGACACCTTCACTGACACACTCGCTCCTGACCTGGGAAAATAGGGGACACCTTTACAGGCATACTCGCTCCTGACCTGGAAAATAGGGGACACCTTCACTGATACTCTCGCTGATGACCTGGAAAATAGGGGACACCTTCACCGACACACTCTCGCTCCTGATGTGGGAAATTGAGGAGCCACCTTCACTGACACACTCGCTCCTGACGTGGAAAATAGGGCACACCTTCACTGACACACTAGCTCCTGAAGTGGGAATTAGGGGACACCTTCACTAACACATTCGCTCCTGACGTGTGGAAATAGGGGACACCTTCACAGACATACTCGCTCCTGATGTAGGGAAAATAGGGGACACCTTCACAAGTACACTCGCTCCTGACCTGGGAAATTAGGGGACACCTTCACTTGCACACTTGCTCCTGCCCTGGAAAATAGGGGACACCTTCACTGACACACTCGCTTCTGATGTGGAAAATAGGGGACACTTCACTGACACAGTCGCTCCTGATGTGGGAAAATAGGGGACACTTTCACTGACACACTCGCTCCTGATGTGGGAAAATAGGGGACACCTTCACTGAGGATACTGCTCCTGATGTGGGGAAAATAGGGGACACCTTCACTGACACACTAGCTCCTGACCTGGGAAAATAGGGGACACCTTCACTGACACACTGCTCCTGACCTGGAAAATAGGGGACACCTTCACTGACACACTCGTTCCTGATGTGGGAAAATAGGGGACACATTCACTGACACACTAGCTCCTGATGTGGGAAATTGAGGAGCCATCTTCACTGACACACTCGCTCCTGACGTGGAAAATAGGGCACACCTTCACTGACACACTCGCTCCTGATGTGGGAATTAGAGGACACCTTCACTAACACATTCGATCCTGACGTGGGAAAATAGGGACACCTTCACTGCACACTCTCCTGCTCCTGATGTGGAAAAAAGGGGACACCTTCACTAGTACACTCTGCTCCTGACCTGGGAAAATAGGGGACACCTTCACTGACACACTCGCTCCTGACCTGGAAAATAGGGGACACCTTCACTGACACACTCGCTCCTGATGTGGGAAAATAGAGGACACCTTCACTGACACACTCGCTCCTGATGTGGGAAAATAGGGGACACTTTCACTAACACACGCGCTCCTGACCTGGAAAATAGGGGACACCTTCACTTGCATACTCGCTCCTGACCTGGAAAATAGGGGACACCTTCACTGACACACTCGCTTCTGATCTGGAAAATAGGGGACACCTTCACTTGCATACTCGCTCCTGATGTGGGAAAATAGGGGACACCTTCACTGACACACTCGCTCCTGATGTGGGAAAATAGGGGACACCTTCACTGACACACTCGCTCCTGACCTCGAAAATAGGGGACACCTTCACTGACACACTCGCGCCTGACGTGGGAAAATAGGGGACACTTTCACTGACACACTCGCTCCTGACGTGTGGAAATAGGAACCACCTTCACTGACACACTAGCTCCTGACGTGGAAAAGAGGGGACACCTTCACTGACACACTCGCTCCTGATGTGGAAAATAGGGGACACCTTCACTGACACACTCGCTCCTGATCTGGAAAATAGGGGACACCTTCACTGACACACTCGCTCCTGACCTGGAAAATAGGGGACACCTTCACTGACACACTCGCTCCTGATCTGGAAAATAGGGGCCACCTTCACTAGAATACTCGCTCCTGATCTGGGAAATATGGGACACCTTCACTTGCACACTCGCTCCTGACCTGGAAAATAGGGGACACCTTCACTGACACACTCGCTCCTGACCTGGAAAGTAGGAGTCATCTTCACTGACACACTCGCTCCTGACCTGGGAAAATAGGGGACACCTTCATTTGCACACTCGCTCCTGACCTGGAATATAGGGGACACCTTCACTGACACACTAGCTTCTGATGCAGGAAAATAGGGGACACCTTCACTGACACATTAGCTCCTGATGTGGGAAATTGAGGAGCCATCTTCACTGACACACTCGCTCCTGACCTGGAAAATAGGGCACACCTTCACTGACACACTAGCTCCTGATGTGGGAAAATAGGGGACACCTTCACTAACACATTCGATCCTGACGTGTGGAAATAGGGGACACCTTCACTAGCATACTCGCTCCTGATGTGGAAAAATAGGGGACACCTTCACTAGTACACTCGCTCCTGACCTGGGAAAATAGGGGACACCTTCACTAGCATACTCGCCCCTGATCTGGAAAATAGGGCACACCTTCACTGACACACTCGCTCCTGATCTGGAAAATAGGGGACACCTTCACTGACACACTCGCTCCTGATGTGGGAAAATAGGGGACACCTTCACTGACACACTCGATCCTGACGTGGGAAATAGGGGACACCTTCACTGACACACTCGCTCCTGATGTGGGAAAATAGGGGACACTTTCACTGACACACTCGCTCCTGACCTGGGAAAATAGGGGACACCTTCACTGACACACTCGCTCCTGACCTGGAAAATAGGGGACACCTTCACTAGCACACTCGCTCCTGATGTGGAAAAATAGGGGACACCTTCACTGACACACTCCTGCTCCTGATGTGGAAAAATAGGGGACACCTTCACTGACACACTCGCTCCTGATGGCTGGGAAAATAGGGGACACCTTCACTGACACACTCGCTCCTGATGTGGGAAAATAGGGGACACCTTCACTGACACACTCGCTCCTGATGTGGGAAAATAGGGGACACCTTCACTGACACACTCGCTCCTGATGTGGGAAAATAGGGGACACCTTCACTGACATACTCGCTCCTGATGTGGGAAAATAGGGGACACCTTCACTGACACAGTCGCTCCTGACCTGGAAAATAGGGGACACCTTCACTGACACACTCGCGCCTGATGTGGGAAAATAGGGGACACCTTCACTGACACACTCGCTCCTGACGTGGGAAAATAGGGGACACCTTCACTGACACACTCGCTCCTGACCTGGAAAATAGGGGACACCTTCACTGACACACTCGCTCCTGACCTGGAAAATAGGGGACACCTTCACTGGCACACTCGCTCCTGATGTGGGAAAATAGGGGACACCTTCACTGACACACTCGCTCCTGATGTGGAAAATAGGGGACACCTTCACTGACACACTCGCTCCTGATGTGGGAAAAATAGGGGACACCTTCACTGAGCACACTCGCTCCTGATGTGGGAAAATAGGGGACACCTTCACTGACACACTCGCTCCTGATGTGGAAAATAGGGGACACCTTCACTGACACACTCGCTCCTGATGTGGGAAAATAGGGGACACCTTCACTGACACACTCGCTCCTGATGTGGGAAATAGGGGACACCTTCACTTACACACTCGCTCCTGACCTGGGAAATAGGGGACACCTTCATTGTCACAGTCGTGAATCTAAAGTCTAAAGAACTAAAGTCTCACCTTGTTTTAAGATTTATTTTTAAAACATTTCTGGTTTGTCAAAATGATTGTATGACACGTTGAAGCACTGTCAGAAACTGATGCTCGAGTCAGCTGTTGCAGCGTAGCTGAAGAAGTAGTTGTAGTAAACAACGTTTATATTTCAAAGGCGAAAATTGATCAAGATGCTAATGTTGAGGAGGTAGAAATATGTTTAAGGCGACGACGAAGACGATGATGATCGTGATGGGTTGAGTTGAGTTGGGTTACGTCACATCGGCATTATTCCAGCCATATAGTGATGAGATCATGTCTGCATTCATAAGCATTTTAAGTACAAAGTCCAAATGAGTTTTGTGTTAAAACATATATAGAAAAACATAGAAAAATATCATAGCACCAAATTTAAAAGCAAGCAATTCGTTATTCACATTACATAGTTACAATTTGTGATACACGTCAACTTCTCTCAGGTAGTTCACAATGAGATTTTCGTGTTCGTGATGAATGTTGTTTGTGATGATGAGTATAATGCTGCTGCTGATACTGGTGGCGAAGATGACGACGACAGCGAGAACGATGGAAGTCATCGACGGTGACGACGACGACGACGACGACGACGACGATGATGATGATGATCGCGACGAAGACGCGGCCCATAAGGATGTTGTCTAGACGATGGTGTTGTGGTGAAGATTCGGTGCTTGTTAAAGGCTGACAGAAAACAGACAAGATCACTGACATAGGCGTTGTTCACTAGTATCCACCCTAGTTCCACCCCGAACCTCCCAGTGCTACCCAGCACAGTGGCGACCCACCCACAAACTACGGGCAACATCCACAATATTTGTGTTGAAGATGATAAACGCCGTTTTCGGTGTTGCTGCTTGACCTACACCTGCGGTTGTGTTATAACAAGCCAAAACAAATATCATACATTAAGTGTTTGTTTTAGTTGAACAAAATGTTTAATTTTCCAGCTCAAAACAAACAAATCAAACTGTCTACATGCTCCTTTAGAGCTTGACAAACATGTGTTTTCCGTCATAAGCAGCATCACAATACGCGTAACAGAGGCCATTTGATTCCTTTCTCTTCAATAAGGGGCGCCTCAAGTGAAGCATGCCGGTTACATAGTATTCTGTAAACTCATTAAATATGTAAACAAGTCCCTTTCCACGGGAGGTTAGTCGCCAGCCAATAGCACCCCAGAAAACTTGCTAGGAGATCATAATGCTGTAGTATCAGGTTGCCGATTTGAGCTTTACGGGCCTAGCGAGAGAGATCGCCCGTTCAGTCAAGCCACAGTCACGGATTGGAACGGCGTTCGCCTCGCTCGGTGTAAGACGAAGGAAGGCTTCGCCAGACTCACGGAGTTAACCGACGTTCGATATCAACACACCAGCAACGTTGAGACAGCATCAGTGTTGTGAGCGACTACTGCAGCGATGAATGTGTGGAGAAAGATCTTGATTCTGTTTCTCCATGGAAGTTTACTCTACGTTGTATGCAGAGGTAAGTACGGTTTCTGTTCAATAGACGATGAGAGTTGGTGCAGGGCAGTTTCTGCTTGACTTGTGTTGTTTGCTAAGACGGGCCACACTGAGGTTGTTAATACACCGGCGTGTGTTCTGCGGTCTATACGTTCTTTGTTGGTTTACAGTCACGTTTAAATGAATTGCTAGAAATTAGATTTTGATGAGGTGACTCTATAAACTGAGTGAAGGGTCTTGACAAGCGTGCGATGTATATAGTTGACGGTAACGGCTCAGGAGCAGGTCGTCGGTGCGGGCAAAGGGAACTATCCGATCTGTTATGAATGATGTTCACTTACAAGGTACTATTGATTCAAGCTTAATGGGAAGAATCCACGGAAACTAATTCATATTTACATTCCTATTTGAATAGCACAGGAAGCACAAAATACAGGTGTTTTCGTTAGAAACCGACCCCGTCAGTCACGGACCGCGGATTGATCATGTTGTCATTTTGATTTATGGGGGTTGTAGATTTCGGAAATTGACACCACGTATAATCCTGGGTTAGTGACGTTGTCTGTGAACTGACCTACATGTGTACAAAACACATCGTGTATGTGACCACGGTCAAGATGGGTGCTGACCCTACCCGTGGCCAGGTCTGATACTGAGGTGGGACAGGGCGAGATCACGTGCATGGCTCGCGTCCCCCTCCCTTCAAGCCCGGGGGTCTGGAGTCAGAGCGTATATTCCCAAACACCTTGCTTTGTTTACAGTAACCCGTCCTATCAATTTTCCGTGCGTAATGTGCCGTATGTCTAACAAAAAGTCGTGCCAACTCACAAAGGACAGCAGAAAGTCAGAGAGGCTTTTAGCCCAGGGACGCGAAGGACAGTAAAGAGTTTAGAGCTGTGTTTGTTTTGGGGATAGGGAACGTGCTGCTACCGGCTCCTGTCTTTATATCACCCGTGTAAAACCTTGTTCAGTTCTTGCGCTTTGCTCTAACTGCAACGGTCGGAAGTCTAGGCTAAGGAGGTAGAAACCCCGAACCTCCCTCCGTCCGAGATGGCCAGCGCTGATAACGCCAGGATAATACACGCTATACATATAACAGCCTTTCTCTATTGTTTAAGCCTACTTTGCACCAGTGTCGGGTTCGCCCTTTTTCTCGGTGACTGTGGCTTCCCGACACAAGGGCTTGTTTTCACCTTGTCTGTTTCAACAACGATGCACGTCGAAACGAAGAATGTCGTCGGTTTCTGTGTACACCATGTCTATTTCTGTCTCCATGCTCCCGATAGCCATCGATTGTTGGAAAAGTGGGTCTATTTCTTGTCCGCCTCCAGCCTTGTATCGATCAGAACATTCTCACTGCATCTACCTGTGACTGCCGAACGAATTTGTTACAATAATTGTTTCTAAATTACAATAATTGTTTCTAAACACCTTATATATACCTGGAGTTATTTTACTTACTGCTAAAAATATCTGCTCTCATAAAACATTAATGTCTGACCTCATAAAGCCAACGATAGTGTTCTGAAGAAATATCCTGAACAAGATTGAGTAAAACCATGTACAAAATAGAACCGACATCAAGTAGTATGCAGTTGTGAGTAGCACTCGTCTCAGTATATAAGTATACTTATTTCCTCTGAGAGTTAACCTCATAAAAGTCTGTAACACTAGCTGAGATGCGCCTATGATATTTCTGGTTCGTTATGAACAATGGACTACATTATACAATTCCACAGGTTTTATACTTTCAAAACATTATGTAAATCCACATCTTGGGTCTCATTTTAGAATAACGCAGTCTAATTTACAATAAAGGTATAAGATCTATTTATTTCAAAAATGACAGATGATATGTGTCGGGAATTTCAATTAGGTTTATGTCTCAAGTCCGCGCCTCCGACAGAGATGTGTGTGACATTGATTGAGATGAAGCATGTACATATCCCATGCAACGGGAGGCCTGTCAACTCGCCCAATGTTGTTCATGCCTAAAACACAAGTTCTCTTCGGGATATCGATTTTAGTATAAATATAGCTTTATTCTATCTGTAAGCTGCTGACTGTGGGGCCCTGAGACAGATTAGCAGGGGTTCTGAAGCGATGCAGAAATATTCGTTCTATACCGTCCCAAAGGATGCGACACTCGTGAAGTCCATTTATTAAATATGAGCGTCTGTAAAGTATTATACTACAAAGCTTTTATGTTAGTGATGACTCAATAACAACGACTTTTTATGGAAAATATTCCATGACGTAGATATGTATTTGTTTATTATACCTTTACATCACGAATAATTTTACTACGTTAAAAACGAACAGTACACGTGGTAAACAGCTTAAGCATTCAAGTTTAAATAGCTCATTATACAACTGCTTAAAAAGAGACGATATATTTCCATGAACTATTGCATTTTGCAAGATGGATTCGTACCACATAACCTTTTTCAATTTTTCAGCAGCGATTTCTTATCAGCTGTTTCCTTGAAAAATTTATTAGCACAAAAATGTGAACGTTGACGCCATGAGAAGACTGTAAGACGATGAAACAATGCCCTGTATCATTCCGTACTAGAACACATGGAGTTTTTATCCAGATTTCCCAGATTATATTCGTCGCTTGTACTTTTTATGAGCCGAATCTCTGATGGTGAAACACATGCCCTACTCCGTCAGACGGGGAGTTTCATGAGTTCCCACGTGATAATAGGGATTATTACGGTGAAATATTTTGCCCCCTTTGGAATCAGTTTCGGCAAAACAATATCACATATTATGAGTTTAAGGTTATACGTACCATTATGAACTCGTCGGTATTACGGTATATCACAGAGCCTGTATCCAGCCTGAACTAGATAACCTAGTGGTTGATAGTCTAAGCAAGGTCCCATAAACCATCGAATCTACTTTACTCACTTAACTACTATCAGTACACTTGTACTAAGGAGTACCACATATATAGGCTCTATATGTATACATATGGCATTGTCATGGTATTGCACGTCACAGAAGTATTTTGTATGGATACTAATCTACCAAACCTGAAGAAACAAACAAACAGTCACGATTTAATGATTATTGATTCATAAAACACAGTTCGTACAACTTTGGGATTCAACCAATTTTACCCTGCCTAATTCCACAGTGAGATGAAACAAAAATATGTGCTTAATATTGCCACGTAGTTATTTTATGCTTGATACAAGTTTTATCTTTCAGTAATAGCTACGTTTCTGTAGCCATAAACACAAAAATAATGATCGTTGTGAAAATCGAATGTGAACACATTACCATAGAAAATCTATGCTATTTACAAAGGCTGTGCGTTAATGACAACTGCCACACTCTCCCCTTCCCCCTCCCCCCGAACCTAACCACGGCCAGACTAGCGTCATGGGATATACTAATCTTGTTGAACAATCTCAAGCCTTTTGTTTAACACCGGAGCTGGGTCGAACCCAGAAGCGCTTATTAGCCGCGTTTGCGTGTCTGAGGTAATTTGCCACGCTGAAATAAACTGCCAAATTGCCAAGTATGGAAGGAAAATAGTAGCTGTGGCTCGGAACCCTTGTAACAAAGGGGAAGGGGGTTGGGAGTAAAGGCTTGAGAATAATGGAACCAGAAACACTGCCTAAACACTGTTATAACAGGACAAACACACTCCATTCACGACCGATGGTGTTGTAATAAAGAGTTGCCACGAAACATGTATTGTCGAGTCAGGGACATATTCAACTGATCAATTTGCTCACAACGGTGTGCGTTTAATGTTTGAAAACTAAATGCACAATTTGGGTTGGATTCCTTTAAAACATTTTTTTAAGAATGTAAAAAGGATTATTGTTTGTTAAGTGATGAGATGAAAGGTTTGTTGACTTTACAAGAACAAAATCGACAGCAAATATTAGTTTTATCGGTTGATCGGTTGAGAAGCAATTAGTGATTAAGTGCATTGTTAAATACAAATAAAGTTTAAAAGTTGACGGTTATGGCAACTGGCTTGAGTAAATTACATGGTTTGAGTGACAGGTAATCATATGTACATTTTCATGTAGAGAACTATTTTTTAAATATTGTGAATCTATTGAAAATCCTCCAAACAGACAATTCGTTCTAAACAATGTTACTTATTTACATTAAGTCTTATGATCCATTTGTGAACGTGAGAAGAAAAGACAACGTCCGTTTTGTAAAGATAAATGTCAGTGAAATGTTCAGGGCCAACTGCTGACGTTTTATTTTTAATAGACACATATCGTTACCTTGTTTCTTTTTTCTTTCCATGTCTATTTCACCTGAGGCCAAGGAGCAGTTTGTAACAAAGGATGGGGCGTCGGGGTAGCCTAGTGGTTCAATCGTCCAGTCGTTACGCCAAAGACCCGGGTTCGATTCCCGGCATGGGTACAATGTGTGGAGCCCATTTCTGGTGTCCCCCACCGTGATATTGCTGGAAAATTGCTATAAAACTAAACTCACTCACTCACTGAATGTAAGATACGACCATGTTTACGTTGTTAATTGCTTGTCAATTTCAGTGATGGATCTCAACGCCCTTGTTAATAAGCTTTTATATTCAAGGCAAATATTTGCATTCCTTCCGTTGATAAAACGTCAATATACTCCTTACTGATCAGAAATAACTCGACGGCGGTTATATCTTCATAAGAAAGTCCCATTGTGGAAGACATTTCCGCTGTGGCGTGTCTGCCGTCAAGCAATTAGCGTTGTATATGGTGATTGAAGGTACGTATTTCACCACTTTGTGAAATAGACATGGCGAGCAGATCGTGTTCATGGCGTTCTGTCGTTTCATTCACCAGGACGTCGTGGACTACTTGTTGACTTACAATACGGACCTATTGAGGGGCATTTGGACATGGGGCTTCGCTTAACGCCGAGTCAATATACTTCTCCTCAAATCAGATTTGTAAGTAGCTGTCAGAGCCGACAGTAATGGCTGTAAATAGGTGTATAGTTGGAGCCGGGACTGCGGAAATGACTCGAGTGTAGGACCAAGATCAA